GTCTTATTTAGACTTCTTTTAGTGCCCTCTGCAAAGCTGGGAGCATGCTTCTGCTCTTTTCTGTGACTTCTGGATTCCGTGATCTACCTTACCTTCCTGGGCCTCCTGCCCTTTGCTCCTCCTCCCTGCTCTGCCTCCTCCAGCACAAGATCTCCACCTCCTTACCAAGTCAGAGCAAAAGCCAAAATGAGGAGGGAGCCTGGGAAGCCGGATTGTGATCCTGTGTGCCTTCAACCGCACTGCCTTCTCTCTGGGTCCTCGGTTTTCCCGGGACTCTTCATTGCCTCGTTACTTCAGTTGCAAAGGGCTTAAATAAATCAGGGCGTATGAGATGGTACTGGGGGAATGAACTCCCTGCCCCCTACTCCCCAGTCCCTGGCCTCCTCCCATCATCCCTGGCAGGAAAAAAGAGGCCTGTTATGACAAACCTCAGAAGCACAAATTATCCGCAGTGGCTCCCGGCACTTGGTGATTTTCAGGCACGAATTTCTTTCTCCTGTCTCACCTAATCCAGCTGGCTGAGTTTTACACGTGTTTGAGGCCAGCAGCTCCTCCGAGGGGCTCCTGCTCCCCTGGAACACCGCTTCTGTCTCCCTCAGCTCCACCTGCCAGAGTTCTCTGGCCCTAGACAAGGCTGGGGGTTCTCATTCAAGGCCAGTAGCTGTGGTCCCAGGCTGCCCTTGAGGGCATTGGGTATAGCCCATGAGCTGGGCCCACTATGTCTGCATCTAACAACTTCAACACCCAGCATCTTCACCCTCCCCCCACAACCCCAGCCTTTGCTCCAAATATTGGGAGCCTCACGGGGGGAGGAGAACACAGGGCTTTCTCCCAAGATCCTCACACAGGGAATAGAGAGGAGAGGACTCAGCTGAGCAGGTGGAATTAACAAACTGGGGTTAATCTCTGCCCCTAACCAGAGACTCAGGATTCTCCTGCCAACTTTGTCAGTCACCTGCCACATCCAGCCAATACCATGGCAGGGGACCCGGAGGACCAGGACTAAAGAGTTCCTTGCTCTGGCTTTGGTCCCTTCTTCTGGGCTCAGGCACTCCTGTCACAGAGAAGGTGTTGGGGACCCAAAATGTCCTGAAACTCTCTAGCCTCAACCCAACTGCAAGGTCAGGCTGACTTTAAGCTCACTTGGAACTCAGCCAAGCAGAGAAATTGATGAGGGCTCTAAAGAAAGCCCTGCTTCTTCCCCTCCACATAGGGTGTCAGGAGACAAGTCGAGAGATGCAGGCAGTGGTGAGATTAGGCTCTTGAATGCTGTTTAGAAGTGCGGGTTTTGACTCCTAGTCTGTAGGGACCATCAGAGATTTGTCGAGATGCAGGCAGTGGTGAGATTAGGAAAGATCTTGAATGCTGGTTTTGAAGTGCGGGCTTTGACTCCTAGTCTGTAGGGACCATCAGAGATTTGAAGCAGGAGAATGGGGATGGGGATACACATCGGACAAAGGTTACTCAAGTTGCAGGTGCTGGGCTGAAAGCTACTGCACCAGTCCAGGCAGGAACTGATGAGGCCTGGCCCCGGTCTACATCTCCCGACCTGTCTCCTGATGCCTCCGGGGCCCCTCGCTGCAGCCACAGCAGGCTTCTTGCAAGCTCAAGTCTATTAGGCGCGTGCATGCCTCCATGCTTCTGTACGTACTGCTCCTACTTTCTACAATGCTCTCGTTCTACCTCCGATTGTCCAACTCTTACACATCCTCAAAGGCCCACCCACCTCTACTACCCATTCTCTATGAAGCCCACACTCCAGCTATATCCTAGCCTGGAACCCTTCCATGGATCAGTAGGCTTGCTTGTACCCCGCTGGGAATTTTCCAGCTTCGTGTGTCTGGAGTCCAGAGGGATAATGAGGATGTTTAGAATAGGAAAATAAGTGGAAGAGGAAGTCCAAAGTCTGCCTGAATTCCTCAGTGATAAGGGATACAGGGAGCTGCCTTGGCCTCCCCCCAAGCGCAATGGTTAACCAGATGGCCCTAGGCGAAGCAGTGGAGAAAGATTGATGCATCCTAGACTAACGGTCAGAGATTTCGGTCCCTTCTGGGAATGTGCATTTGCTGGGTGACCTCAGGTCCCCCTTTGGGTCTCTATTTCCTCTCTACCCTTCTCCAGATAGGACTCAAGACAGAGCTCGTCTTCCAGACCACCCCTACTTTATTCGGAGACATCCCAGGCTCCTGGGTTACCCTGGGGGCTCCTGCCCCTCCTTGCAAACTGCCCAGCAAGTGAGGGCATCCATTGCCCTGTCCTCAGAGCATAAGTCTGGACTCTTTCGGTTATAGAGACAGAAAACTCAACTAACTTAAGCCACAAAGAAAGGTATTGAACTAACTTTTCAAGAAGCAGGGCTGGTTTCGGGCATGGCTGCGTTCAGGGGCTCAGACAATGTCAAGAGGACCTAGTTTTTCTCCATCTCTCTATTCTGCCTTTAGCTATGCGATCTTCATCTTTGCATTCCACTTGGCAACAAGATGGTGGTGGTAGCTCCAGCCCCTGCATCCCTTGAGATTTCAAGACCAGTGGGAAAGAACAAAACCACTTGCCTAGTCTCTTAATCCAGAGTCCCAGGAATGAGCCTCCTGGTTCTGAGTAGCCTGTCTTGGGTCATGTGCCAGATGCTATGACCAGGATTGCTCCGATTGGCTCACGACTGGTCACATGATGATCCCCTAGAAGAGGGTTTGTCCGGACCCGTGAACAAGGAGTGGGGAAGGAGGTGGTTTTCCAGGTAAAGATGAGAACACGGCTCTAGAGAAAGGTAACAGGTGGTAGGAGGGGGCAACCACAGGTGTCCACTAGCATCCATCTCGCTTTCCTGGCGTGGGAGGATAGGAGGTTAGAATGGGCAGGAGAGGCAGGCGAGGCTGGGAAGGGGCCAGAGACAGACTGAACCCTGTTACTGGAGGACAACAGGGACGAGAAGGTATCTTGGGAAGAAGCACGCTCCAAGCAAGCAAGATGGGTGGCCAATCCCCACGTTCCTCCTCCACATCTGGGATCCATCTGGCCACCTCTCTTCTCATGCCCGAGCAGGATTAGCTGGCCATGGATCTCGTAAGACAGAACATCTCGAGTGTTTCATTCTGGGTAGCTCTTTGGGGCAGTCGGAGAAGCACATGGCACTGAAGAGGGACCACAGCACAGCATCGCCTTGAAACATACCCTTTCTTTGAAACAGTTATGCAAATAACTGCATCCTGCTCTGTAATAGATCCGCGTTACTTACCATATGCCAAGTTTTAAATGACTTACCAGCTAATGTCTTTACCGCAATTAGCTGGTAAAGTCAACAGTCCAAGGCCATGTTCACAGTGTGGCTTCCAGGCCCATAGCACACATCGGTGAGCAAGGTCTGGGTGTTGGGGGGTCTGAAAGACATCTGGACAAGGAGGCCTTCCCTCAGACGTGGGCTTGGTCAGCTGCGGTGCTTAGCTGGGAAAGTTGGGGACCTCTGTGACAATGAGGCTCCACCAAAGCCTTCAACAGGGGACTCAGCTGTGTGGCCTCTTGGGCACCGAATCGTGTGGCTTCAGTTTGGACCTCCTCTCCCTCTACAGCAATGGAGAGCTTGCTGGCACCTGGGACACTTATCTCTCAATGGGGTCAACTCACTTAGAACAACGATCAAAGTCACACCCTTGGTGCCTGCAGGCCAGAAAGGGACCCCCTCAAAGGAAGGACTCGAGAGGAAACTCCCGCACATGTCTCCCCATAATCCCACTGCTAGAACCCTTTGAGTCAGCAGGGCAGTGGTTAAGGCCCATTTAGCCTACAGGGACACCGAGGTCCAGGGAGGTGAGGACCTTGTCCCAGAGTGGGAAGGACAAGTTAGAAGAGACACTGGGAGTCTCTGATTCTGGACCACTCTTGCTGGACTCTCCCCGACAGCACCGTTGGAGACTGACATTCTCCTCCTTAAGCAGAGATGAGGAAACTGATGTGGGGTTGCCAGGGGTAGCGGACACTTCCCTAAAGCCAAAGAGACAGGCAGAAGCTGCCACTAGCCCAGCAGTTCCTCTATGGAGCCCCTCACCTGCCCTTCCCCACTCAATGGCTCCCAAGACCTAAATCTTCTGGCTGTTCCTGGGCATCCATCATCCCTACTCACGTGTTGGCCCCGGCATCGATGTCTCCCTGGCACACAAGTCTGGCCCCCACCCCTGATCTCTGGCCAGGGTGCAGAGGAGGAGAGAGGAGAAGCCTGAGCTTTCCTGTGCTTTCCCCATCACCTGCCGGAGGCAGAGGGGGCCCAGTGGGATGGCGAGCCGTCCTGAGGGGCTCGCTCTTATTTCCTTAAAACTCCCATCTCGGTCTCATTGGATCTGATTTAGCTTAATTATTCAGAAGCTCACTTAATTATTCAGTGAGGTCTGGGTAAGGAGGGCCAGTGTCCACTTCCCAGCTGGTCCACTTCCCGGGGGGCTGAGCACAGGTTCCTAGAATGGGGACAGAGGTGGAAGATGTGGTCAGACTCCTGTGTTCCTCCCAGGCCTGGCTCCAGCGACTGGAAGCCAGAGTCCAACTCCTGTAACGAGGGAGCAGCAGCTGGGCCCCACCCATCCCTGGAGACTGAGGTCGGGACAGAGGACTTCCAGCCCTCCCACCAAGCTGGAGAGTGGCAGAGTCCAGTGGGCCAGCTCTGAGCTCCAAGGAGAGGCCCTGTCACCTCTGTCCAGGTCATATTACCCACAAAGAGACAAAGTTGTTACAGCCACAGCACTGCTGGAGGAGCCACCAAGAAGCCACCACAGGGTCATCGACATAGACCAAAGTTTGGGGTCATATTCCAGTCAGAGCTGGGCTTCGGTCTGGGGCAAGGATCAGGATTCAGTCTGCGGTTGGGATTGGGGCTCAGTCAGGAACTTGGATCAGTCCAGTGACTGGGCTGTGCTTGGCTCACATTCCTGGGCTTTGTGGACGAGGCGTAGGTAAGCCTGACGGGTCCCCTCCCTGTCTCTGTCCTTCAGAGTGGCTGGGCAAGTGTGCTGCAGTTGGAGGCGTGTGACTATATGCAGATGATCGAGGTGGAGCACAAACAGTGCCTGGAGGAGGCCCAGCTGGAGAACGAAACAGCAGGTGAGGCTCCCCCGGTGGAAAGAGAGGTGCTGCAGACCCCCAAGGAGCCCCACTTCTCAGGCCATAAGCCCAGACCCACATCACCTTTATTCTACATTTGCTGGAGGGCGGTCACACCAAGGAGCTTTTGGATAGTTGAGGAGAGGATACTGGGAGAAACTGGGGAGCCAGGTGGAAGAAGGGGGGCCCTAATACATCTCCTGACTGGGCTGGGGCCGAGATGGGGAGAGCTGGCCCCAGAACACCACGCTCTGGGGTTAGGCCACTTGTATTGTTAGCATCTCAGAAGGAGAATGGAGGACATCGGGTGACAGTATGTGACTGCCATGGGGACCACATGGAAGCTCAAAGCCATCTCGGCAGTCTAGTGCAAGAAGGCGGACAAGGCTAATCTACACAGGTCTGGAATACTCACCACGGCTGAGGGTGTGGGGGGCGCAGGAACGAACCCCAGCTCCTTCCTCCCACCCCGAGGCCCTGCCAGCCAGCAGAACACCCAGAGGTGACACCACACAGGCCCCTGGACACACACACCGACCTCCCTATCCCAGCCCACCCTCAGCAGGCCAGATGAACCATCAGCTCGTTATCCTGCTGATTAGACAAGTCGAGGTCAGACTCAGGCTGAGCACATGGGGTCCAGCTATTCTCCTCAGAGGGTTTCGGGGAGCTCCAGCCTGGCAGTGTGAAGGGTGGTGCCAAGGGTCCTGAGTCCCCCACACTTGGCTCAGCAGCCCTGGCCTGAGAATGGAGGAAATACAAAGGGCTTTCTTCAAAAGGAGCCGCTTGAGCCAGACTCAGAAGGTTGGGCAGGATTCGGGGAAGCAGAGACTGGAAAGGTGGAAGGCACAGAGACAGCCAGTGCTGGGGAGTAGGGGGTAGGCATGGGGTTCCTGGCTCACTGAGAGGGAGGGGGTGGGCTGCAGGCAGCGAGTGTCTGTGCCTGCTCTGGGCCTCCCTCCCAGGTCACCTTCCCTGAGGCTGAGTTTAAAGTTACATAACAGCCTCGCTCAAGAGAGGGGGCATCTTTAGGTCTTCCTGGCTCCCCAGTCCCCTGCCACCTCTAAATCTGAGAGTTATGTAACCCCTGCCAGGTCCTTCCTTCTTGGCCCTGGCGCCCAAGCTCTCTGCCTCCTGCACCATCCGTGAGTATGTGTAGCCTCGCTGATGGCCTTCTCCTCCCCGAGCTGTCAGGAGGGGCAGCCTCCTGTCTCCTGGGATCTTAAGACTGAAGCCTCAGTCGAGTGTAGCAGCTGGACCTGCCCTCTGCCTGTGCACCCTACTCCACCCGCAAGGACAGGGAGACAGGGCCAGGCTGCAGACAGGCCTCAGTAGACCCCCAAGAGCAGGATCCAGGATCAGAGGCAGGTCAGAGAGGCCCAGACCCCAGACTCGAGGCCCCACTGCACCCCTCCCAGGCCCTGAAGGCAAGCTACCCTCGTGATCCCTATGAGGTCATTGCTGGCACAGGGTGCCTGTTGGGTGCCAATACCCCGTCACCAGGCAGCCAGCCTGGGATCTAGGGGCGGGCAGGTATGGGTCAGTAGGACATGAGTCTGCCCTTGACCTTGGGTGGGGTTCCGTGTATGTTCATGCACATCCAGGTGTGTGCTTCTGGGGTCTATAGCTCCATGTCTGACTCTGAGTGTGTGTGTCAGGGCACGTGTCTGTGTAAGCCTGAACGTGCCTGGATATGTCTGCCTGGTGTCTGTGTTTTAGTGTGTGAGTGTGTGAGTGTGTGCGTGTGTGTGTATCAGCGTGAATGTCTACGATGCACCCGGTCATATCTACGCACGTCTGTCCAGGAGTCGGAGGTGTCTCTCTGTGCCTGTGTTTACTCACGTCTGGTCTTTTCGTGCCCAAGTCAGCATACATGTATGTGAGCCCGGGAGTGCTTGTGAGCATGTTCCTCTCTGTATACACACACATCTATAAAAATGACCCTGCAGAGGCCCCAGTTCTGCCTCACCAGCCCTCACGCCGGGTCGGGCTTTCGTTCCTGTTGACGTGGCAGCCCCAGTGGGCATACACAGCAAGCCGGGGCCCTGTATCTCTGTGGGCCTAGAGACACACGTGGTGGGTCCTGTGGGGTCTCCATGGGGTGGGCACACAGAGAATACTCAGGACAACATCCCCTCCAAGTACCCAGTATTTTTTTGGCTGTCACCCGCTGCTTGGCTTCCTGACCCTGCTGCCTCCTGCAGGAAGCGTCCCTGACCACATCCCCCTACTGGCTTCTCTTCCCTGGCTCCCCTGCCCACCGCCTGCACCCCAGCATGGTTCACAACCCAGCCCTGGTGGTGCTGACACTCCTCGTGGCCAAGGGGGGCCCCCACAAAGTCAGGACCCAGTCTCCCTCTCCTCGGTGCTGCCTCTGATGAAGCTGAGCTCAGGGCCAGAGACAGCTCCACATCTGCTCCCCAAAATATGCCGCAGCTGGAGACCCAGAGACCCAAACTCTGGCAAACACCCAGACACAACAGCCAGCCTGCAAAGCAGGGTGTGTATGCCCAGAGCTGTCGGAGAGGCCTAAACAAAACCCAGCAGAGCAAAATGCCCAGAGATGCAGCATCGAGCCCTTCAGAACAGAAGTGCAACAGCTCTGCTAGAGAGCATGTGAACTGGCTACAGCTCGTGACTGATTGCTTTATGCCTCAGCAACTCATCTGTTAAGCGGGAGGGTTAAATAAGTTATTCACTTAAAGAAGGTCAAACAGTTGCTCCCACATACAAAGGCTACACAAGTGTTGGCGGATGTTATTAACAGTCTTGAACCACTAGCCGGATTTCACTGGCCTGCAGGGCCCCAGCATGGGAATGGAGGAGGGACTGGGGGCCAGAGGGAGGCCACAGAAGCCTCAGGACAGGGTCGGGCAGAAGCTTCAGGATCCCCAAAGAAGGCAGGCTGTGCTCTCCAGCCAGGCCCTGGGGATCCTGTTGTTCTCAGCCTCTGGCCGCAGGTGCGCAGTCCTGAACGGGGAGCCCAACCCCGCTGCCAGCCCCCACCAGCACCCGAGAGTCCTGAGGCTCTTCCTCAAGCGTGGACATCCTTCCGCCTCCTCTTCCCAGGCCGCCTTCTTGGGAACTCGTGAACCTTCGGACCTGGGCTGGGCTGGGCTGGGCCCAGCTGGCACTGACTTTGGCTCAGGGGTTGGATTTCCTGAGCAAATCTATGGGACTGGCAGCGTTGCAAAGAGACAATTAAGCCTCCCTCACGGGAGGGGATCCGGAGGAGTCCTAGTCCCTGAGGGGCACTCAGACCCCAAACAGGCAAAACCATGGTGTTCACATCTGCCTGTTAAAGCAGACCCCGAGAGACCCCACTGTGCACCCTTCGCCAGCCAGGCCCTCCGGCTAGTAGGTATGGTGGAGACACAGCCTGCAATGCAGGGTTTTCTCTGAAGCCCCCTCCCCCGACCATCCTCATCCCCATCACAAGTCACAATTCAGCTGAATTGGGGGCATCTGTGGCGCTTTGTGAGTTTTATGAAGACTCTTTAAGAACTAGCTGAACCCCACACTATCCATTACCCCATCATAAACAACACTTCCTTTGTATAAAATATATTTTCTAATGCTACCTATACTATTATGAAATGGAATTCAGGACACACGCATTCATTTCGTTAAAACCGATGTTCTAATTGTAACGTAAAAGAAAAACAAAAAGAAAAATAATCTGTAAGAAAATACTCTCCACATATGCAGGCCAATCACACTAAAAGATAAGACGTGGTCTGAAGGTTGCGCTTATAATTCAGGCAATAGGAGACCCATAAATGCGGGTCGGTACATGCAGTGGTTTGTATCAGTGACTCAGATACCACGGGCACCATTGCTGTAGGTAATATAATTTTCCAGGACATTAAACAACTCTCAGTAAAGTTCAGAAGGAAACAAAGCCCAGGCTTCTCTCTCTCGACTCCATAGCTACACTCCGGGAAAACTCCGTGTATGTTAAAGCTGTGCCATGGTTACCTGGTGCTTATATTGTCAAATGGAGGAAGAGTCCAGGCTCTCTGGTCATTACAAAAGGTTTTCGCCTACGTAAAGGCCCAGTGGCTCGTTTGAAAGTCTTGCAGCAGCTGCACAGTTCATCACTGTGCAGGACCATGCGGGGCCCGGTGCCTGCCCGCCAAGCACAGGGTGAGGACCCCAATCTGCAACAAATGAATTCCCCACTACGGTTCAAACCCCCGACCCCGGGGCGCTCCAGCCCTCACGGAGGACCCTGGAGCTGTAGCTCTGCCTGCTCCCCGCTCTCAAAGGCGGAAGAGAGTGCGAGCCGATGGGCTCAGGCCCCAAGCCCGGAGGTGCCTGGGGGCCATGCTGACCCAGGTGTCCTCTGCCTTCACCCCACAGGCTGCGGCAAGATGTGGGACAACATCACCTGCTGGCCGGCCACCCCTCGGGGCCAGGTGGTCGTCTTGGCCTGCCCCACCATCTATCAGGTCTTCTCCCACGTTCAAGGTAAGAGCCCTGGGTTGAAGTGAGGGAGCTGGGTGACATAAGGGGCTCTGGCCAGAGTGAGGACACTCCTCTCAAGAAAGTAAGAAAGCAAAGGAAAGGGATCAAAGAGGCTAGAGCAATCAAGGGGGGCTTCCTGGAGGAGGATGCAAAGGACTCATGGGACTTGATTAGCTCTTCACGTAAAGATAAGCATGTGGGAAGGGCTCACTAAATATTTGCTCAGCAATTAATAACCTATTGACTGACAGATCCTTGATTAAATTATGGCTCCCATGTTCCCGTTGCCTTGGCCTGCTCATGATTCAGTCTTTCACCACCTGGAGCTAAGGACCTCTCTGGCTCCGTGAAGCCAGCACATGGCCTTACATATCTTGTCATGTTCTACTTGAATGAGTGTTCGTATGTAAGGCAAACAAGAAAAAGGGAAGATGCTTGAGGAAGTGGGCTTTCTTGCTACCGAGTGATTAAAGAAGCTTGCAGCATAATGTGGTCAGCCATTTCATTCAGCGAATATTTATTCAACACGGACTAGTGTGACAGGCACCGGGCTAGACGAATGCGGGGTGGCAGTGGTGGGGAGCGGGTACAACAGCCATGCTGCCTGCCCACAAGGAGGTCATGTTCTAGTTGGAGAGATATTTATTAAGACAACAAACACATGTGTCATAAGCGGTGTTTATGGCAGTGCTGGGAGAGAGGAAGGGTGGGAAGCCACATAAGGCAGATGTGCAGAGACGGGCAGCTGCAGACCTGGAGTTGTGGGGAAGAGCCACCGTGCAGAGATCCTGATCGCTGAGAGAATCGACATCCCGTGGGATGGGGAGGGATGAGGGAGGAGCAGCAGCTAGGTCAGGATTCAGAGGGTGAGCAGGAAGACCCTTGGGCATCTCTCACTCCAGGTGGCCTCTTCTTCCCCGGACCTCAGTTTCCCTGTTTGTAAAGGGCACCGGAGGTAGACCAAACGGTTTCTTTGGGGCAGGCTGGTTTTGCACTCCAGTCAGTGTTCAGTGTTGTGACCTCAGCAGCTAAGGAGAGACCCTGATGCCCTCCTTGAGGAATCTGGGAGCAGTCACAGGCATGTCATTTTCCAGGATGGCACTCACCTAGCCCAGCACTCGTCCGGGGGAACCCAGCACCTGGGCAGGTAGGAGAGGAGGAGTTACTCCAGCAGGTTTCACAGTGCGTCCCATCAGCAGAGCCTGGCAACCAGCCTTCTCTTGGATCCGTGGAAGTGCCTGCTAATTGCATTTCCTCCCTGACACTCTGCTAATTGCATTCCTCCTGACGGCTCTTCCTTCTGGCCCTGCTGGAATTATCAAGGCAGCTCCTTCACGGAGAACCTGGACTCCGGCCCACCATCTGACTAATTCTGAGGCTGGCAGCCTCGATGGGGCCCACACAGTGCCTTTGTGCAGATAAGAAAAATGCAGCCCTTCCTCGCGCAGTCAACCTCTCGCCAAAACCCACCTAGGGGCAAGCTCAATATGAAGTAGAATTTAGCCCCCATCGTCCATCCAGATGCCCTTGCGCAGTGAACAACCTGCACAACTGCACTCGGAGATCCTAGTCTCTGAAAATGATGGACAGGAATAGGAGAAAGAGTTAGGGGCTGCAATGTAAAAAGAGGGTGTGTTTTCTTGAACAACTAGATGAAAGGTGTGAGCAACTGACCTAAAATTTCAAAGTAAATAAGTACAGGGGAGGGGTGATGCTAGCTCCAGCTCCTCGGGTACCAAGATGGGGGAAGACGTTTTCCCCCCCAGGAGGGTTAGAAGGGACCTGGTTCTACAGGGAAAGCTGAAGAAGCCTTGTAAAAGATAAAGACTGTGGAGGGTTAGAAAGGAGCCTTTTGCCCAGGCTGGGTAAAAATACCTAGGAGCGGGGGTTGGTCAGCCGAGGCATTGCTCATCAGGGCACCAAGACGTCCTTTAATGCGTTGTCTGCATGTCTTTCATCTGCGGCATTTTTACTTTCAAATATTTAAAGAGACTTCCTTTAGAACAAAAAATAGCAAAGCTATTTTGGTTGAGAAAACCCGACACAATCTGTGGTGACCAGGTTTATAGGACACCTCCTCCCCCCGCCCCACCCCCAAGTCAGCCTTCATGGCAGCCTAAGACATCTGCTCCAGCTGGGGTGGGCGGGGGCTGCCACCGATGGATTTCAGGGCGGGGGCCTCCCTCCCTCTCCCTGGTTCGGGGAGTGCCATGGTCAGGACTAGGTTTTGGCACAATCCCTCCAGCTCTCTCGGGGTGGGGAGCGGGTTGGAGGAGGCAGGAGAGCAGGGAGACCCATCAGAAGGCTCCTACCTAATCAGGGGAGATGAGACGATGGTGGCGGTGAGGGCAGAGAGGCTGGGACAGGACTGGGGACCCATGGGGGAGAGGAGAGAGGTGAATAGGGAGAATACGACTCCCCAATTTCTACCTCTGGTCTCTGAGTGGTGCTTTTCACATGGAGAATGGAGTGAGGGAGGGCATGCCGTGACTTCTTTTTGCGACATTGGGAGAATGTGGGGTTCAAGTTCCCTGCCCCTCCCTGGCACACACCCTCCATAGGCCCCTCTGCACCCATGAGGTCTGCTGGTTCCCAGGCCCAGGCTGCGGGGGCACTCCTGGCTGCTTCTCAAGAGCCCATGGTGACCGCCTCTGAGATCTCTTCAACAGCAGTTCCCTTTGAGGCCTGGGCCACAGTCCCATGGCTCTTGGGAGAGGCCACCCAGCTCTACAGATGACTCTTCCTCATTGGATGGTTGAGGGGATTCAATAAGATACTGTGCCTACAGTGCTGTTCAGCACTGACGCGTGACAATTTCTCAAAAGTTGCGATGAAGCTGATGATGTTTGATAATGCGGATGTTGCTGCTGCTGGTGCTGATGCTGATGATAGAGATGGTGCTGGTGGTGATGCTGACGATGGTGGTGATGATAGTGATGGGGCTGGTGGTGCTGATGATGATGGTGTGGTGATAGTGATGGGGCTGGTGGTGATGCTGACGACGGTGGTGGTGATGATGGTGATGTGGCTGGTGGTGCTGACGATGGTGGTGGTGATAGTGATGGGGCTGGTGGTGATGCTGACGACGGTGGTGGTGATGGTGATGGGGCTGGTGGTGGTGCTGACGATGGGAGTGTTGAGAAAGGGTCTAGAGGGTAGTGACATTAGAGCCGGTCCCCTTCCTCAGCTCTTCCTCATCTCCTCACCTTATCTCTTTTCTCACTTTTCTCTCCCTCCCCCTTTTTACTCCTCCATCCCCTTACCTCCTCCTCGTATTTATTCCCCACTCTCCCTCTCCTCTCTTCCCCCTCCGTCCCCTCCTGTCCTTCTCCTCCGTCTCTCCCATCCCAGCAAGCCTGGCGGGCCAGCCTTTTCCTGGATAAGTGCCTCTGCAATGGGTCCTGGGATGGCGGAGGGGAGGGCAGTCTTCTCTTGCTCACCCATTTTCTATTGAATCCCTCCCCTCCCTCTCAGGGAAGAGGACACCTCCCCAGGGCTGGGGAGTGGGGAGCCTCGGGGGTACCCCTGATCTCACATGCCCTCTCAGTGGTCCTGTATCCTGGAGCCCCAGCCTCAGTGTGGTTCAGCCCCGAGTTCCTGCAATGCTGTGCCCCTCGAGTCCCCTCACACATGCCTTTGCCCGGGGAAGGAACCCTGCCAGGACCCCCCTGCTTCTCTATGAGGATTGCAGATCCATGCCCCTATCAAGTGTCCTCCCACCCCCATGCACCTCCTGCCTCACCTTTGGTCCCTCTCCAGCAACGCATCGGAGCCCCACCCAGTGTGAGAGGACACCCAGGCCACAGGCCCAGGCGGGCTGGTCCAGGAGGACTGAGCAGGCCCGGGCCCCTTGCCCCAGCCAAAGGGCTGCTGTCCATACCCGGGTGCAGGACAGAGAAACCACGTGCCACACCAGCTCCTGTGGCCCTGTGACAAGGGCCAACATTTAGCTCACGGCAAGGGTCAGGGATCATCTGAGCCAAAGATGCAGTCTGTCCATTTCGAGGATCAGAGTTTATATGGCACCCGAGGTCAGGTTCGGACATGACAAGGGGCAGAGCTGAGCCCAGGAATGTCTGCTCTGACGGCCGTCTGTGTCAGACGGTCCCCTGGCAGTCCCAGAGGGGCTTCTCCCTGCCCCAGGGTCCCCCGCGAGGCCCTGGGGTCTAACGCAGCAGAGCCGGTGGGAGCAGGGCAGAGCGCAGGGCAGAGCGCAGGGCAGAGCTCTAATCCAGCAGAGCTGGTGGGAGTAGGGCAGAGCGCAGGGCAGAGCGCAGACAGCCAGGCCCCCCGCTGCTCCACGGCTCTCCCTGCCCCGCCTCACCTTCTCTCCTCTCGCCCCTGCTGCCCTCCTCCCAGGCCTCAACGTGAGCCGCAGCTGCACGGACGAGGGCTGGACACACCTGGAGCCTGGCCCCTACCCCGTTGCCTGTGGCTCAGATGACAAGGAATCAGGTTTTGACGAGGTGGGCCTCAGTGCATCCCGCCCCCAACGCCGGCTAGGCTCCTTACACTCTCTCCCACCAGGGGGTGACGTTGCCATCCGTGTGGGAGGGACTCCTGGGGTCTGCCCTCCCAGCCTCCTCCCTCTCCAGGCCTGCATTTCCGAGCGCTTGACAGGAGGGGGCTTTTATGAGGATGATTCACAGCAGCAAAAGCTGAAGCTGCACCCCCCCCAACCCCCGCCGCAGCCACCCCACTGCCTCCCGGAAGCTCTGCTCCAGCCCTGGAGATGGCAAGGCAGACAGATACCACCCTCCCTGTCACGTGCAGAGGGGAAGCCAAGGTGTAGATGCTGGAAGGAACCCGCCTCGGATACCTAACACCCAGTCAGGGGCAGGAACAGGACCGTGGTCCTCAGTCCCAGGACAGGGACCTGCCCTGGAGCAGGTGAAGCACAGGTGTTCACCGTGAGGCTGTGGGGCCAGGAGCCCGGCCCAGCAGGGACACTGACGTGGAGGCTGGGGTGTGACTGGAGTCCCCAGCCAGGAGCCCTCGCTGCTTCGGGTGTGAACACGTGTGTGCATGTATGTGTCTGTCTGTCTGTCCATGACGGCAGCTGTCTCAGCCCCAGATGCCTTCTCAGACAGGGCCTTCACTCCAAGAAGGAAACAATTTCCTCCGAGGCCTTCAAAACCCACCAGATCATCGGGCAGGACCTAAATCCCCTAAATCCCTCTTATCCACTCGCCTCCCATGAGGAGGGTGGGGAGCCTGCTCTGTGACGGTGGCTCTGGGAGGACATCAGAAGGGCACTGGCAAGAAGCCTCTGGGATCAGCTCGATCTGCCTCCCCGGAAAGGCCGACTGCCCCCATCCTGCGGACTCAGCCCCTGAGCGCCCCAAATGTGGAGTTACCCCCGCAGCGTCGTCTTCACCCCCTCCGTCCCCAGTGCGCGTCCCTCCCCACACCAGCGAGAAGGCGGCACGCGGGCCCGAAGGGCCGGCAGCGTGGATCGCCGAGGCTGCCGAGCCCAGACTTGGCACAGGGGGTGCCAGCCACATGACTGAGGGGTGCATTTCCCATGAAGGAGCAGAGGGAGGGTTTGGATTCAGCCCCTACCCTGGGCGGCAATCCTGTCCTGTCTGGGCTTCAGCCTCCTCCTCTGCCGGGACAGGGTGTGCAGGGCTCCCACCCTTACCAATGCATCTAGGTGAGCTCCGAGCTCAGCCCCCACGATCTTCCCCCACCTTCCTCTAGCAGCTGCAGGTAATGTTCTATACCTCTGTGAAGACCGGCTACACCATCGGCTACAGCCTGTCCCTCGCCACCCTTCTCGTTGCCATGGCCATCTTGAGCCTGTTCAGGTAAGGCGCAGCCCCGGTAACAAGCCACAGAGCAAACCTAGCCAGGTCGCCCTGTGCCTGAGCCCAGCCTGACCCAGATGTGCTCTGCCACCCTCCAGGGAGCACACAGTCCCTGCCCCAGCCCCCCTGCCAGACCAGCCTCTCTTAGAGACAGCAGGTGACTCAGCGTTCCACCTGTCGTAGCCTAGTCCCCCACAGGATGGCCTTGCACCTGGGGATGGGGTGCCGGAGGGCGGGGCCTGTGCTCTGGACTGAGGCAGCTGGAGGCTGAGTCACTTGGAAGCCAGGTCGCATCCAGGGATGGGTACCTGGGGACCAGCCCCCACTTCGGAGCAGGGCCCTCACTCGGAGGCCACATGCTCCCTCTGCCCGACCCTTCTCAGGACACTGGACAGTGCTGGTTGGGGCAGGGGTCCGAGGCCCCTGCGGCTCCCAGCTCTGCCCACCTCACGACAGGAAGCTCCACTGCACACGGAACTACATCCACATGCACCTCTTCACGTCCTTCATCCTGAGGGCCGTCTCCGTCTTCATCAAAGACCTGGTCCTCTTCGACAGCAAGGAGTCGGACAACTGCTCTGAGGCCTCCGTGAGGACCCCGCCTAGGCCCGCCCCCTCTGCCTCTCCTTCATCTTCCCCACTGACTCTCCCCTTCTCCCTCTCCTCGCCCTCTTCCCCCTTCTCTCTCTCTCTCTCTCCCCCGCCTAGGCCCGCCCCCTCTGCCTCTCCTTCATCTTCCCCACTGACTCTCCCCTTCTCCCTCCCCTCGCCCTCTTCCCCCTTCTCTCTCTCTCTGTCTCTCTCTCTCTCCCCTCACCCTTTTCTCTCCTCTTTCCAAAGATGGCCAAACCTCACCTTGACCCCACCTGGCAGATCCTTGAATCCCACTCCTACCCCCCCACAGCAGTAGATGGTGCTCAGCCACCTGAGAGTTCACGGACCTGCTGCTGCCAACGAGCAACGCTTCTCTTTGGTGGGAAATGAGACACTTCACGGCCAGAGCCCACAGCCTTCATCCCACCCCTGTCGCTAACTCCCCATGTGACTTTAGGAAACTCGCAGCCTCAGTCTCCCCATCTTTGCAAGGACTTCCAAGCTTCCCTCCAACTCTACCCTCTGCCATCTGCAAACCCAGGGCTCCGCTCCCAGGCCACGCTTCCTACTCCCCCGTCGCCATCTGGAGCCAGTCCAAACACACAGCCCTCCTCTTCTGCCCTGCCCTTGCCGTCAGTAAGTTCTGGGGCTTCCTCAGGAAGGGAATTTAAAAGAGCATCTAAGAATTCATCGCCGCCACTGAGGGATCCATCTCCAGGTGATTCAGAGCTCAGGGCCCCCTTCCCTGAGTGTCCCCCGAGCTAGGATAGAGAGCTCCAGACCAGCCCTGGCTCCCACCCGTTTCAGAGGGTCAGTGACTCATTGCTTCATGATGGCAGAGGCCGTGCATGATTTCAGGGGTCGGCAGTGCCTTCTCCTCAAAGAGCGAAACTGTGATGATGGAGTCACAGGCATCTCAACAAAGGGAAGGGAAGACCCAGGGGAGCCGCCCCGGCTACTCCCAGAGCTCCTCAGAGGATGCAGACACGTGAAGCTTCCAAGGGCTGGGAGAAGCACGGATGATTGTCCCGTTAGAGAGCTGAGTTATTCTTCTCGTAAAGCAAACGTGGGCGAGTGAGGGAAACAGGCATGCCTGCAGCAGGAGGGACTGAAGAGTGACCTGCAGGAGGACTTTCCACCCATACGAAGAGGGTGGTAGGCTGCTCTCTGAGGATGTCTCAAAGCCAAGGGTCCAGGAAGGAAGGGTAGGAACCCATGTTCCGGGCCTTGGGTGGTGTGGAAGCTAGTGGGCTTCCTGGAAGAGGTGGCTTTACGCTCTGGCTCACAGGTATCTGGACTTGATCTGAAATGGGACACTGTTTCTGGAAAAGGACTGAGGGCCAGAAGACCTTCTAAGCACGCCAGGTGGGCTGCACGTAGCCCCTGCTTGCCCTACTCAGGGGTCGTCTTGACTCTTCCCTTGTCCTCATCTGCCTGTGGAACCCGTTTTTTCACTAGCTCCTCTGGCCCCCAGGAGAAATGGCCATCCTCCCCTCTCCTCCTCGTTCCATTTCTCCTTCCTCGTCCACTTCCTCCTCTCAGTCCCCATCTCTCCTCGACACTTCCGTCTGGGCCCCACTCCACAGACCATGGCCCACACATTCAAGGGACTCTTGCAAATTGTCCCTCATACCTATTCCAGCCACCTTCCATCCTAGTTGGAATAAGATGAATGACTGTGGGGAGTGGGGGGGGTGGGGCGGTAAGTGGATGGGTAGGTAGATGGATACCTGAAAAAAACAGGTGCATGGATGACTGAGTAAGTGGAAAGACAGATGGATAAAGTAAGAAAAATTGGATAGATAATGGGTAGATGGGGGGTGGGTAGATAAGTGGAAGGATGGATGGATAAGCAAATTGATGGAAAGGTAGATGAATGAATGGATAGATAAATGGCTAGGTGTGTGGATTGGTAGTGGATGTCTAGTAAATGGATAGGTAGATGAATAGAGAGATAAACAGTGGAGTGTGTGGGTGGATTGAAAGATGAGAAGATGAATAAGATGATGTTGGATGCATAGATAGATGGGTGGATTAGTAGTGGATATCTAATGGGCGGGTGGGTAAATGAATAGGTAGGTGGATAGTTGGATAGGTACATGGGTGGATAGATACATAGATAAGAAGATAAATAGATGATACATTGATGTCTAGATAATTAAAATCACAAACTTATTCCAATGCATCAGATCATCTAAAATCAGGGATAATTGGAAAATCACTGAGAACATTTTTAAGGGAATAATGCAAAAATAACCAAGATTAACTTGGCTTTATAGCAGCTGCGTTTGTCACTACAGACAGAGATGCGGGCAGGCAGGGACCCTTACTAGCCTAGGTGAGCCCCCTTCTCTGCTCCTTCCCCTGCAGGTGGGCTGTAAGGCAGCCATGGTCTTATTCCAGTACTGTGTCATGGCCAACTTCTTCTGGCTGCTGGTGGAGGGCCTCTACCTGCACACCCTGCTTGCTGTCTCCTTCTTCTCCGAGCGGAAGTACTTCTGGGGGTACATACTCATCGGCTGGGGTATGGTACCAGGGAGGGCGGCCAGGCTGGGAACAGAGGGGGTAAGGCCCAGGGAGCTCACCAGGGGGCGCTGCCTGCAAGGTTCTTGGCTATGGGTTCACCAAAGTCCCCAAACGCATGACCCAGGGCAGGCGCTGTCAGGCTGCTGCCACACCCGGGCTGAGCTATGGGACAGACAGGTGCAGTGGACATCCTTCTACTTCCCCTTTAGCCCTCGAAACACACCGGGCCACTGCTAGTCTATAAAGTGCCTCCGCCAAAATCAGGAAAACACCGTCCGGTTAGGTGGACACAGCCCCTCGGGCGCACAGTTTCGCCCCGCAGTGGAGCGCAGGCATCCGGGGCAGGCGGCGCTGGTAACGCGCCCTCTCTCTCTCCCTCCCTCCCTCTCCCTGGTTCTTTCTCCTTACCCTCCCCCTGTGCCCTCCGTCCCTGCCTCCCGCGCCCCCACTTCTCTCTCCTCTGGCCCTGACAGGGCTGCCCAGCACCTTCACCATGGTCTGGACCATCAGCAGGATTCGTTTCGAGGATCATGGGTGAGCTGTCACCCTGCCCCCTCTTCCCGGCTGCCATCACTTGAGGCGGATCCCCTGGGTGGGATAAAAGGGACCTGGGAGCAGTGAGCCCTGGACCCGTGGTCTCTGAAGAGTGTGGGGCAGAGCCGGGGACAACTGGGAGGACTCCTGCCTCTGAGGACAGCCCCTTTCCTCCCCCTGCCACGCCCTGCCCAGGTGCTGGAACAACATCAACTCATTACTGTGGTGGATCCTAAAGACCCCCATCCTCACCTCCATCTTGGTAAGGCCTCCTCCCACCACGTAGAGATGGGGAAACTGAGGCCCAGATTGGGAAGTCAACTGACCTCGGGTCACTCAGGAAATCCAAGTCTAGATCAGAACGGAAACCTAGGTTTCCCCACGCCTAATGCAGAATTGTCCCTACCCCTTCCCCCACCCGCCGTTCCTCTGGAGTAGAGAAAATGGATCGGAGGGCCCAGTCCTTAGGGGTGTGAAGTAGAATTCCCAGATAACGTGCCCAAAGCAGGAAGAGTGAGAGAGAGGTAAGATAAAGGGGTGTAGCAGGGCCCCAGGGAAGAAGACGCCATCAGCCCGGGGGGCTGGACACCCTGGCCTCACTGGGCTCTCTGACCACCCATCCTTGGCCCACCCTGCAGGTGAACTTCATCCTGTTTATTCGCATCATCAGAATCCTGGTTCAGAAACTGCAGCCGCCAGATGTCGGGAAGAGTGACAGCAGCTCATACTCGTGAGTGTCGGCCCAGGGCCCTGGCCCTCACGGCATCGCTGCCCTCAGCCCTCAAATCATCCTCCATCCTCTCAGACTCACCAGAAAAGCAACCTCGCTCCTGCCCACCTCAGCCCCGTGGCCCGGCTCACGAGGGTCCCCTGCCCAGCCCCACCCTCCCCAGGCTCACGAGTCCCATGTTTGCTTCTCCTGCAGTCACGTACCTAGCAGGTGATCTGATCCAGGTACGTATCTGCTGCCAAGCCAGGGAGCTTGAGAAGACAGTAGATAACCTGAGTCTTGTTTACACCATGGGCTCAGTCCCTGGCATGTGCCTGGCACAGAAAAGGGGAACAATAAATGCAAGTAGATAAATGCCCTAGGGGAGCCCCCAAGTCCACGAACAGGACAGCCATGTTCTGGCCTTGATACTTCTCAATAAGGATAACCACACCTGCAGTTTATGTGCCAGGTGTGTGCTAAGGGGCGTCCACGCACCGTCCCCTTCCATCCACAGAGTCCCGTATACGTTGTCCCCATTTTACAGGTGAGGAGACGGACACGCGCTCCTTCCCACCAAGGGTTTGGGAGCGTGTTGTCCTGGGAGGGGGCAGGTACAGTGTCCATGGGACAGTGGTCCTGCTCCTGGCTTGGAAAGGTGTGAGGCCTGTTCCCTGTGCTTGGGAGGACTAGAAGGACAGGCAGGTTCTCATGGGAACAACAGGCTCGAAGACAGAACAAAAGAAACGAGAGGCAGGTGGCTTCGGGAAGGCGAGTAGGGGTCCGCACGCCCACACGTGGGAACAGGAAGTCAGTGCTGCACAGACAACACGAGCCTGGGGCATCCCGCAAGAGCCTTCTAGTCCTGGCATTCTAGAATATTCTTCTTGGCCTGGCTTTTCTTCGGGGTATCTGTGCTGTGGTTTTAAGGTTCCTGGCTAGAATGTCACGAGCTGCTGGATTTAGGATTCTATTCTGGAATCTCGTGATCTCTCCGATGAGACTAAGACTCATTCCCGTGTGACAGCACACTCTCTCCTGCTGGTGTGTGGGCAGAGCTTCCCTTCCAATTTCAGAAGGAAAGGCCCCATGGGGGTCTTTGGTCTGCACATCAGGCCTGTGCACCCTCATCCTCTGCTTTGCTTGTGGGGCCTTGCTTTTCCCAACATACAACTGCTCAGAAGGGCTTGAATCTGAGGCAAAGAGAACTGGTCATTGCCAGGTTCACGTGGGTGAGTTGGAAACCGAACAGCTGTCAGCAGGCAGAGGGGCGGGGCGGGGTTGGGAGGAGGAGATGGAGCTCCCCGAGGAGGGGCTGTCAGCTGTCAGCTCCCACTCTCCACCTCCCCATGAGCCTTCAATTTAAAGAAAGCTTCCTCCATCTGTCAGCCTCGGGCGTGTGGGATAGGTTCGCGGCCAAGGAGGGGTGGGCAGCACCCAGGATCTTGGTGTGGCTGGGAACCAGGTCCAGGAAGGGATGGGTGAGGCAAGGCCAGTTTCCTGCCCCCGGTTTGCTGTGAGACCTCAGGCCCAGGACTAGGCTTTCCTAGACTGACCGGAAGAGATAAAAGCAGAGACCACACGCCCCTCACACCTCTCTCAGCCAGGGAACCATGGGCTCACGCTTCCTGGACCATCCATAAGGTCAGGTGGCTGGGAGGCCTGAACCACGATGAGCCCTGCTCCGTAGGAGAAGGGCCAGTCATGTAGAGCGAATGTGGGCCCCGCTGAGCACACAAGGCTGCTGAAGGGGGCCAGGTCCTGCGGGGGAACCTGGAAGTGTGTGTTGCTATAGGGAGGTGACGGGGAGAGGAACAAAACCCCAGAAAAGGTGGCAACTCCTGAAGAAGTGGGTAAAGCAGAGGAGCCGAAGACAGGGCTGTACCAGTTGGCCCTGGGTCATCCCTGGTAACCAGGCACAAAGTTGAGTGCCCACCATCCTCTCAAGTGCCCTTGGGCATATGTGGTCAGCACCCCAATTACGGAGACTTCCTTCCCAAATGTCTTCATTCCCAGGAGAGAATTGGTCTCTCGTGGATGCATTGCACTTTATAGCACTGAAAGCACTTCTGGGTTTACAACGGGCCCCATTTCTGTAATTTGACCGTGTAAAGCGTACATTTACCTCATTGTACAGTTTGGGGAAACTGAGACCACAAAGGGGGCGGAACCAGGACCTCCTGTTGCCCGAGGACATCTCCCCATTGGCTGCCACAGAGCCCAAAATACCATAATTATGCATCGTCCTCAGGGTTCAACACTGGCCCTCCTTTATACTCTCCCCTCCAGAAGGGTGAGGGTGGGGACGATTTCTTCCTCCTCATGCTTCCCTCCAGGCTGGGAGGGCCAGGATGGGGTGGGGGGGTGGGGGGTGGTGAGGGCCTCAGCATGGTGGATGTGGACCGGGACCAGATGTGGACGTAATAGTCATGGGCGCCGACAGTCCATCCTCACACGTGCTGATCATCATCCCCATCCTCTGCCCTGGCTGTCTCTGTGCCAGGCCCTTTTGTATCTCACTTCTTGCCCCTTCCTGTCCCCAGGAGGCTGACCAGGTCCACACTTCTGCTGATCCCCCTGTTTGGGGTGCACTACACCGTGTTTGCCTTCTTCCCCGACAACTTTAATGCTGAAGTAAAAATGATCTTTGAACTCGTCATGGGATCTTTCCAGGTATGGACTGTTTGTTGCCTTAATGCCACATTCCTCTGAGATTTAAGGGAACTCAACTTGGGGCCTTGACCCCTTGCCACTGGATTCCAGTCTTCTTACTGTAATAAGAATTGATTAAGCACGTGCTGTGTGCTTAGCCCTTTGCTTAACCAGAGGAACGCACCAGCTGGGGCCAGGGCTGGGGCCTCTTGGGGGTCTGTCTACCTCACCTCTCCTGCCCCCTTCCTCCCCAGGGTTCTGTGGTGGCCATCCTCTACTGCTTCCTCAATGGCGAGGTAAGTTCCTCCAGACTTTGGGGCCCAGGGGACAGAACTCAGTAGGCCCAGAGTCCAGAAACACTGATGGGTTATGTACAGATCGAGGATGTGTTAAACCTCGCTCTCCCGAGTCTGGTCTTCAGGGTAGTAAATCGGTTTTGGCGCCTAGGACCTTGTTTAAAATGTTGACTTCTGGGCCCATCCCAGACCTGCTGACTTAGAATCTGCATTTTATGAACCACCCCCCACCCCGCCCAGGAGATTCATGCGCACATCAGAGTTCGAGAGGTGCCTATGTTAAGTGACTGTGTGCAGAGTGAGTGGGGACAGGTGGGGGCAGAGGGTGAAGGTTGGGTTGTGGCGGAGCCCTGGCACGGAAATACACTTGAATGAGCTCCAGTGGGCTGGAGGGCAGGGACCAGAATAGTGGGGCCGCACCCACCCTCAGGAGCATCCCTCTGCATCCCTGGCCTGCATTCTCCGATCCTCTCTGCCTGCCACCTCCCCCCACCCTCCCCCCTTGATTTGACCCTGGCTCCTATGCCCCCAACGGTGCACTCCCCAGGAGAGCATCCGGGTCTCTTAACTTAGACCCTCCCAGAGGATGTAACTGGCTGGCTCAGCCCCCTAACTCCAGAGCAGCCCAACCGGCAGTGGAGGGGGCTTCGTAGGTATGACCACCTTCCCTTCTCAGGTGCAGGCAGAGCTGCGGCGGAAGTGGTGGCGCTGGAACCCACAGAGCTTCTTGGGCCGGGGTTCCGAATACCAGCACCCGGCAGGAGGCAGCAACGGAGCTACGTGCAGCACACAGGTCTCCTTGCTGACCCGCGTCAGCCCCAGCACGCGCCGCTCCTCCAGCTTCCAGGCCGAAGACTCCCTGGTCTGACCGCCAGGTGCCCCGAGGCCGAGGGTGGCCCTACTGGCCCGCACCGACCAGCTTGGGGACAGAAGCCTGCCCTAGTCTAGGGTTCGAAGGCTGCCCCAGCCCTCAGGTCACTGTCCGGATGCCCTTGGAGAACGCCGCTCTTGCTCCTGCCTGGGGAAAGGAGGGTGCAAAGATAAGGGAGCCGCTTCTCTGCAAGCAGGAGCCCTGGGAGCTCGGCTCCTGAAGGAGTGGGGTGGAGGTCAGTCATTAGACTCCTCCCCAAAAGGCCTCCTCCACCAATCAAAGGCAAGAAATTTGCATATCTCTAGACTCCGCCCCCTGTTGTGACCTATTGGAGGAAGGCAGACCACTCACCCCCAAGCAAAAGGTGTGGGAACACGGTTGACAAAGGTCTTGCCCTGAAAAGTCACCTGCCGCTACCACTTAGACAGTGCCTGAAGTGCCACCATTGCTGTCAAGTTCCTTTAGGTTAAGCATTGCCATTCAAGCATCTCTCTGAAGACGCAGTCCCCTCTCCCGGGTCCTCCCAGCTGCCAGCTCCGCAAGATGAATGAGTTTCTCTGCCTCAGGCAGATGCAATTGTGATATGACCTTCTAGGTTGGAGAGTACAGCTATCTTCATAGTCCCCGCTGAAGTGGAGTGCTCCCAGGATGGCTGGAACAGTTCAGGAGACTGCCACCAGCCCTACCCGTCCCTATGGGCTGTGGGAGCTGCCCTTGGTGGCCCGGCTATGTGTCAACTATTAGAACCAGGCTCAGAGAGGTGCACTCATGGACCCCTTAGTCCTCACATTGACCAAGAAAGATGGGAACTGCTGTCACTTTCACAGATCAGGAAACAGTCTCACAGAGAGAGGTACCTCACCTTGTCGCACGGCAGGATTCGCACTCAGACCTGGCTGATGGGAAAGTGAAAGCACAGACTCTTAACTGCTGCCTTTTATACCTTGATAACACATTGGATCCTCTTGGTTATTCGTGTCACCACTAATATTGTTATCACCACCATCCTTGCAACGCCGTCCCCACCCGACCCTCCTTGGAGTGTGACTGAGGAGTCTCTCTGGCCCATGTATCATCTGGACAAGAGCCTAGTGGTCGTGGCATCCTGTATGTGTCCTGCACCCCTGTGGCCACATGGCTTCCTGCCCACGCTCCAGCCAGAAGACCCATGCTCTGCAACAATAAATGTTGGGTTGGTTTTGCTTGGTTTCCCTGGTGGTCGATGTTCCCACATGGGGGCTAGCTTTGAATGGTGGCCATTCGCCTCCATTCAGAGGAGGGGTGGTCAGAAATATCACGGAAGCCAGACACCACCACCCCTGTGACTTTGGGTGGAAATCCTACATTTCCCACAGTTCTAAGGGCCTTCAACTGGCATCTCACTGAGGGGTACTCTCTCTTTTCAGAGAGTGAAAAAGTTATACCAGACCCTCACCATGTCCCTCTACCCCCTAAATCCAGCCACCAGGAGACAGTTCTATTTTTGGATCAATACAAAAGACCTAACAGAGCTGCTCGCGGTCCCAGAAATGGTTCAATGTGAGCAATTCACAGGCCACAGTCATTCCGCAGACAGGGAGAACACAGGTATGATGAGGTGACCGTGCTGCCACTGCCAGTGTTCAGCCAAGAGGAGGAAGATGGAGGACAGAACAGATGTCGCCAAAACAAATGAGTGATCAGAGACAAGACGACTAATAGATTTAGACACAGGTGCGGTACGGTGAAGTCCATGACATCAGTCAGCAAGAGATATCTCCAAAGCCATTCATTGCCTGAGCTGACCTTGGCTTCCACTTCCTGCAAACTTGCAGGGAGGTTGTCTTGCTGCAGGAGCAGGAAACGGATGCCAAGCTGGCAAAAAGAGGCCAGAATGGGCTGGCAAAGGCTCAGATCTGCCCGCAAGGCTCCTTTAAAGCTTTGTGCTGCTCAGTACCTTCCCACGACCCGGCCGCAACAGCCCCAACCCAGCTCCCTGCAGAGGCCCGAGTCAGAGGTGGCCAGGCCAGGATAAGAGTGACTGTGAGCCTAGAGCAGGAGCAGCCCTAGGCAAATGCCCTCTGATCAGTGTCCAGCATGTCCAGGAGTGGCAAACTCGCTGTCTAGATTCACCCT